CCACATTCCTTGTGCTCTGTGGCCGCTGCATTGCGCAACACGGATGATAGAACCCCTTTTTGGACAGTACTGGTATCTGTCATTTGTTTATTTATTTTTAAAATATGATTTATATTTGTTGTTGAGAATATGCACAGTAGAACATACACGAATCCAAGTTTCTACGTGTACAATTCAATGACATGGATTACATTCATTGAGTAGTGCAGCCATTCTCACCCCTTTTTCCAAATTGTTCCTCCCTCACTAACGTAAAGTCACTGCTCCCTAAGCTTCCTCTCTAACCTTTGAAGTTGCCATTATTAATTTGATCCCATATCAAACCAAAACCAAACCCACTGCCTTCGAGTGAATTTCGAATCATATCAACACTGTAAGAGTAGAGCTGCCCCATAGGGTTTCCAAGGCTGTAATCTTTATGGAAGCAAACTGCCACATCTTTCTCCCGTGGAGCAACTGGTGGGTTTGAACTGCAGACCCTTTTTGTTAGCAGCTGAGAAACTTTAACCACTATGGCACCAGGGTTCCTTGATCCCATATAAAACCAAAAAAACCCAAACCCGTTGCCATCGAGTTGATTCCAACTCACAGTGACCTTATAGGACAGATTAGAAGTGTCCCATAGGGTTTCCAAGGAGAGGCTGGTGGATTCGAACCACTGACCCTTTGGTTAGCAGCTGAACTCTTAACCGCTGCGCCACCAGGGTTCCTGATCCCACATAGATAGATCTCAAAAGAGCACGATTCACAAGGCAGATGTTCGCTTATCCAGCCTCCATAGCTCCAGAAAGTCTGGATTCCATGTGTGGTGTTTGTTTTTGACCAGTTCCCGGTCTTCTGGACACAGAGCTTGTTTCCAGCTTGCTCAGGCTGGCAGGCGGTGTAGCAGGGAACATTCTCTGAGCATGGCTGTGTGGTTGCATGTGACCAGTTTCTGTTGGAGGCAGGTAGAGCCAGACGGCTGGGTCCTGGAGTTGGCCTGAGTTCGGATCCCAGCTCTGCCACCCATGTGATCTTAGAATGTCATTGTTTGCTCTGAGCGCTACAATAAGGCTAGTGAGAAGATTCAGTGGATTCTTGAAGCCAGGAGGTCCTGCTGGGTGTTAAGGAGGTGTTCAGGGATTATCAGGAATGATAATAAGTGAGGATGGTTACACATCCGTGTTTTAGGTTTTGATCGTCCTGGGTCTTAGCTTCTAAGGTGTAAAGTGAGTGTTGTTGTTAGGTGCTGTCCAGTCAATTCTGACTCATACTGACCGCATGTGACAGAGCAGAACTGCCCCATAGGATTTAATAGGCTATAGCCTTTACAGAAGCAGATCGCTAGGTCTTTCTCTTGCTGAAAGGCTGGGTGAGTTTGAACCACCACCGAGAGCTTAACCATTGAGGCACCAGGGCTTTTTGTCAAGTGAGATACTGTTTTACAGATGGCATGAAGTCCTCTAGCCACCAGGGGGCCAGGTTTGGAGGGGGTGAGTCTTTGGGAGCCCTGCCCTGAGCTCAGGCCAGGGTAGGAGGGAGGGAGACCCCCACCCCCCAGGCTGGCCTGAGGTTTCCAGCAAAGCCCGTGGTGAGGCCAGAGGGCTCCAGGCTTGACTGTCACTGCCCCCTAGAGTCCCAAGGCCTGCACCCTTGGTGGGGATCTGGGGGTGCCCCTGCTGTGTCCCCAGGGATGGGTGTGAGGAGCCAGGGGGGTGCACACCTAGACCCTGAGAACATCACAGTGGGGGCTCAGCAAAGAGGCACAGATGGAACCTCCGAGGACGTGAGGGTGGGAGGTCAGCTATACTCCCCTAGTGGGACCAGGTGGATGGTCTATGGGTGTTTGCTCCTGGGCTGGGGGGCTGTGCTTACCTTCTCTCCCAATCCTAAGATGTATTGCTCTGCCCTCTCTTGAAAAAAATTACTATGATAAAATATATAATACAAAGTCTGCCATTTTAATCATTTTTAAGAGTACAATTCAGTGGCATTACATTCACCATGCTGTGCAGCTATCACCACTATCCATTTCCAGAACTTTTCATCACCCCAAACAGAAACTCTGTGCCCATTAAGCAGTAACTCCCCATTCTCCCTGCCCCCAGCCCCCGGTAACCACAAATAAATTTTTGTCCCTATACATTTGCCTATTCTAGACATTTCATGGAAGTGGGATCAGACGCTGCTTGTCCTTCTGTGTCTGGCTTCTTTCACTCAGTATCATGTTTTCAAGTTTCATTCATGTCAAAGCAGGTATCAGGCCTTGGTTTCTCTTTATGGCTGAGTAATATTCCGTTGTATGGATAGACCGTGTTTATCCATTCATCTGTTGATGGGCACTTGGGTTGTGTCTACCTTTCGGTGATTGTGAACAGTGCTGCAGTGAACGTTGGTGAACATGTGTCTGAGTCCCTGCTTTCAGTTCTCTTGGGTATTTGCCTAGGAGTATATTGCCGGGTTATTGGTAATTCTGTGTTTAACTTGACCGAGTCCCTGGGTGGTGTAAATGGCCAAGTGATTGGCTACTAACTGATAAGTTGCTGGTTAGAACCCACCCGGAGGCACCTCAGAGTAAAGGCCTGGTGATCTGCTTCTGAAAGGTCACAGCCATGAAAACCCTATGGAGCACAGTTCTGCTCTGGATACGTGGGTTAGCCATGAGTCAGAATTGACTCGACGGCAACCGGTATGTTTAACTTGTTGCGGATCCGCTACTGTTTTCCACAGCAGCCTGCAGGGATTCGAATAACAGGCATGTGGTCAGTTATTTCTAATGTGGGATCTGTCCTCTGTGACAGGTGGGGGCGCTGGGGAGGAGCCAGGAAGAGCCCCTGCCCTCAGGCGGGGCCCTCCTTGTAGGGAAGACAGGCATTAAATCTATCATTGAGCGATGAATTTCTATTTCCAAGTTGCCATAGAGACAGTGACTCGGGCTTGCTTGGATTGGGTGGTCGGGAGAGCTTCTCTAGGCCCAAGGAGGCCTGGAGGTGGGAGTGAGTGTGAGGGTTCTGGAAGGAAGCCTGGGGGCTGGCACGGGTGGGGGCAGGGGCAGGAGCTTTGAGGCTCAAGGGAGGCAGGCCCCAGGGCTGTGAGCAGTTGGAAATTTACACAAATTTTCTCTGAGATGATCCCTCTGGCTGCTAGGTGATTCGGGGAGGGGGTGGAGGCAGTGAATATATGCAAATAAATGCCACTTGCATTGTTCTTGCTATCTCATAGTGGGGGGGTGGGGGCGCAGATAGGGATGCTGTGCCCAGTTGACAGAGGAGCAGACTGAGGCCCTGAGGGCAGCAGTGAGAGCCCGTGGTACTGTGGGGAACCACCTCTGGGGCCCCACCCCAGCCCTGGTGGGATTTGGGCACAGTTGTGCCCTGTGGCAGGTGGGAGCCGTTGGTGGCATCCGGGCTCTGGCGGACCTGGGGCTGGTGGGTGGGTTTCACAAGCCCTGGCAGGGGCAGGCCGGGGCCACTGGGCTTCCGCGAGGTCTGGGGCAGGAAGAGCTGGCGCTGATGTAAGCCCTTGCGCAAACCTCGGGCTGCCGGCTTCCGGAGCCTGCTGCTCGCCCGCCAAGGAGGAAGCCGGGCCTGGCAGGCCCTGAGGCCCTGCTGCCCCAGTCTGACTGCATGGGTGCGCAGACTGGCCACCATGGCCCTGGGTCCCGAGGGCTTGGCGCTGGAGTCGGGTGAGCCAGGCGGTGCCGGGCCGGAAGGGGTCTGGACACGGGGTGGCGGTGGGGGGCATGTGGCCAGAGGGCATCCTCCCGTTGCTCCGCCCTTTGCCTTCCCTACTCGGGGACACTAACCAAGGTGGAGGCCCTGCCCCTGTGGCCTCAGTTTCCCCATGTGTACCACCAAGGGGCTTGGTTGGACATCTGGGGTTCCTGTGCCCCTGGGATGTGATCAGTGAGTGCCTGCTGTATGCAGGCCCTGTGTGGGGGGCTGGCTGGGGTCTGTAAGCCACCTGTTGGCTGGGCCAGGGCCATCTGAGCTCTGAGCCACACATCATCTGCGTGCTCTCTGCAAAGTCACTGACTTTCTGTATCACCTGCGAACTGCCCCTCACATGGGGTGGCCCAAATTGGCACCTGGTGGGTGTTGACCCCGTGGGTCACTCTGTACCCAGTGCTCTGCAGCTTTGGTGAATGGGCTGTTGCTACTATTATTACTATTGCTATTATTATCATTATTAGACATCCTTCCCTCAACACAATTCAGAGAGGAAGGAGTTATTCCCTTTTTGCTGATGAGCAGACTGAGGCCAGGTAAAGAAAGTCCCTTGCCCAGGGCTCGCCAGACCCCCTCTGGAGCTGGAGACCCTGCTTGGCAGTCTGCCAGGGCCTTCCCCCATGGGCTGAGGGGTGTGGTGCCGGGGGCGGGGCAGACGCCCTAGGCAAGGAGTGAGAGGCCTCTGGGAGGTGAGGGGTGAGCCTGGCCAAATGAGGCATGGCGGGTGGGGTGTGGTCTCCATTCAGGCCCAAGTCAGTTGTCATTCTAAGCAGCAGTTAGCCACTGTGTTCGTTTCCCGGGACAGTCCCCGGGACAGGGCTACCTCTGCCCTCCCCACCTGCCATGTTCACTGCTCTTATTCATTCGCTGATTTCATTCTCTAATTCACTGGCGACACTGCTGGGTCTGGTTCTGGGTTCCCATTCACTGTCCATGTGACCAGGCACTTTCTGTCTCTGCCCTTAGAGGTCCCTGCCCCCCACGGAACCTTGACTTTTCATCAGCAAATGGGGAGAACAGCTGCCTGGGTCTAGGTTTGTGGGGCTGTGGGATGGTAGTGCTCTCTTGCTGATGGTGCCGGGTGCCCCGGGGGCAGGTCTGCTGTGTGGACTTCCTCTGGCCACCCTGGGTCTTACCTGTGCTGTCTCAAGCCCTGGGTCTGGCAGAGTGGCCCCAGACCTGTTGCTGGGCCAGGGGAGGTCTCTTTGGCCTCCCTGAGGTGGGGAGAGGTGGGGGTTTTGGGGCGGTGGGCTGGGGCGGTGGCTGCCTGACGGGCCCCCCTTCTCTCCGCAGGCGAGGCCTTCCTGGGCAGCTTTGTGGCCGGCGGGATGGGGCCCTCAGCCTCAGCCCATGGCAGCCCGGTGCCCCTGCCCTCTGACCTCTCCTTCCGCTCCCCCACCCCCAGCAATCTGCCCATGGTGCAGCTGTGGGCTGCCCATGCCCATGAAGGTAAGGAGCGGGCCAGGCGGGCGGGCCGAGGGCTGGGCCGATGTCCACATTGTGCCGGCGAGTTTACGTCCCCAGCACGCCTCAGCTCTGTCCACTCTCCTCCCCTCCCCAGTTGCCTAGAACCAGCTCCTTCCAGTGTGGCCGCTGGGCCCAGTTGTGGCCGTCCACTCTGGCTCACCAGGGCATGGCTGCACCAGCCTACTTGCTGGTCCTCAATTGCACGGTGCTTCCTCTTGCCACAGGGCCTTTGCACGTGCTGTTCCCTCTGCTTGCAGCCCCCCATCCCACCCCAACCTGGCGGTCCTGTTCACTCTTCAGGGCTCGGCTCAAACATCCCCTCCTCCAGGAGACGCCCGCACACTCCATTGCTTGTGATGATGGCTGTATCAGTGATGACTGCAGGCTGTCTGATTCCCCACCAGAGTGAGCTCTGAGGGCAGAGTCTAATTCTGTTCACTGCTGGCTCCCAGCGCACAGTAGGCTCGTTAATCATTGTAGGCACAGTGTGCTGGGGACACTAGGTCCCCTTGTTGCACTTCTGCAGTGATGCCTCTGAGTAGGGGGTAGGAGGGGGTGGATCTGCAACCCTGGCCTCCTGCTGACCAGAGCAAATCCTCCTGTTCTTGGAGTCTTGGTTTCCTTTGTCAGTGCAGAGATTGGCCGGGAGACCCTGAGCCCGTCTCCCAACCTGGGCTCTGTCGGGTAGTGGATGCTGACCCTCATCGAAGTCCCACGATTGGATGCTTGGGTACTGGAGGCCCTCCTCCCGCCTCCCAGGTGGCTTGTGGGTGCTCCCTGGGTCTTAGAGGTTGCACCTACCCTGGCTCAGGGCTTTTCTGGGCCCTTCTGAGCTAGCTGCCTTCCACTTCCAAAGTCTGTCCGGAGTGCTCCCAGCATCCTCCCGCTTAAGATTCCCAGATACCGAAGGGCGAGGCCGTGTTCCTTTGCATTTAGCCCAGGAGGGAACAGAGGTGCTCCAGCTACACAGCCCATTCAGTTCCTACTACATTGCATCCATTGTACAGAGGAGGCCATGAGGCTGCTCCTCCAAGGCTGCTTGGGGAAGGCATCTAAATCCAGGAATTAGGGTGCGCCCTGCCTCTGCTGGGATTTACTGTGGGCCTAGAGGCGCCCTCCAGGCTGGGGCCAGTCCACATCTCACCCTTGAGCCAGCGCGGGTGGAAAAGCAGCGCTGTCCCTGTGTTGCCTGAGACTCTCTTCTCCACAAGTCCTAGCTAGTCATAGTCTCAGTGGCAAACATGAGGTGCCAGGCCCTGCCTCCCTCAGCCCTTTATCGTCCTAACAAGCCTGAGGTGTAGGCACCATGCTTTCCATTTTACAGATGAGAAAGCAGAGGCTGGAGGCTGACCTTGGGATTGTTTAGGATGAAACAAACTCCTGGTTACAGGGCAGTCCTCATTGTGTTGTTATTGTTGTCAGTGTCATTGTTCGGTGGAGCTGTGGGAGAAGAGAGGCCCAGGGTGGCAGGGATAGGTCCTTTGTCCCCTGGCCTCAGAGGGAGTCACTGGGGGCTCGGGGGACCCAAGGCCCTCAGGGGTCTCCAGTTGTCCTTATAGGCCCCAACAGAGTATCAGGACCCTCCCCCAGCACCTCAGCACCCCCCTGGTCTGGGTGGAACTCCTCTACCCAGCCTTCTGGGCCCTCCAGAGTGGCCCCTTGGGCTCTCCCCCTCTGTGTGTTCCCTTAGGCATCTTGTTCTCTCTTCGCGGCCACCCTTCCCTGCCTTCTCTGTCCTGCAAGAAGGGCAAGTTGGCTTCTCGAAGCCTGTTTTTTTTTTTTTTTTTTTTTATTGTTGTAATTAAATGAGGTTTACATTTCAAGTTAGTCTCCCATACAGAATTTTTTTTTTTTAACATACATTGTTACGAGACTCCAACTGCTCACCCCATTCTGCGACACCACACTCCTCCCCTCCGCCCCTGATTCCCTATGAACATTCAACCAGCTCCTAACTCTCTCTGCCTTCCCCTCTCACCTCTGGACAGAAGCTGCCCCTTTGGTCTCTTATATCTACTTGTCTAAGAGGCACATTCTTCACAAGTAGCACTTTATGTCCCACAGTCCAGTCCAATCCCTGTTTGAAGAGTTGGCCTCGGAAATTGTTTTAGTTCTGAGGTGATGGAGAGACCAGGAGCCATGGTTTCCAGGGCGCCTCCAGTCTCAGTCAGACCATTAAGTCTGGTCTTCTTACTAGAATTTGAGTTCTGCATCCCATCGTTCTACTGCTCCATCAGGGACCCTCTGTTGTGTTCCCTGTCAGGACGTCGAAGCCTCGGTTTTCTCATCTGTAAAATTGGGATATTAAGAGGATCTGCCCCTCGGGGTCATTTTGAGGTTTAAGTGAGAACGAGGGCAAAGGAGTTGACGGGCTCTGTGTGTGGCTCCAGGTGCCATCGTCATTCTCCTCCTGGTTGGAGCTGTTCTGACCCTCTTCCCTGGGGGATTTGAGAACCCAAGCCCTTGGGGGTTGCCCAGACTGGAGGGAGGCCAGGAGTGCTGGAGTTGGGAGGCTAGCTGGTGTTCAGCCTCAGGACTCACTCCACCTGGAGGCCGACGGCCAAAATAGTCTTATTTCTAAGGAAAAGAAAGGGCTGGAAGGGAGCTCCTCCTGGGAGGCATGAGGTGGCCCACCTTGTTTTCTCTTCTCTCTTCCAGGCTTCTCCCACTTGCCCAGCGGTCTCTACCCATCCTACCTCCACCTGAACCACCTGGAGCCCCCCAGCAGTGGGAGCCCCCTCCTCAGCCAGCTGGGCCAGCCCAGCATTTTTGATACCCAGAAAGGTCAGGGGGCAGGGGGATGAGATTGCGGGGGCGGGGAGGGGGACAAAGGTGGGGGTTGGGGGGTCTTCTGGGGTCCCCATCACTATCTGGTATTCCAGGAAGTACCCCAGCTGTTTTCTAAGAGCCTTGCCCAGATGCTTTAGCTGAGACCCCAGATCCCAAGGGCCCTCTCTACAGCCTTCCAGTGCCTTCTCATGCCTTCTAGTTTTGTGTTCATCTTATCTAGCCCCCTTAGGCCTCAGAGCAGCTTGAGAAGCAAACCGTGGCCTCTTCCCCTTTTACAGAAGAGTAAACGGAGGCTCAGAAAGGTCGTAGGTGGCCAAGCCGCCTCCCTTTCCAGAGCCTGCCCTCTGTGAGGGTGGGCTGTCTGGGTCCCTCGTTTGCCTCTCTGGCTAGCTCCCTGGGACACCCGGCACCCTCCCAGGGCCCCCTTTTGCCCTGGGCTCACGCTGTGCTCTTCTCCGCAGACGGCTTCTACCTGCCCGCCCCGGGGGCGCCAGGCGCCCTGCACTCCCACGCGCCCCCCTCGAGGACCTCAGGCGGTGCCTCCTCGGGCGCCCCGGCCAAAGGCTCGTTGTCGCGGGAAGGAGCAGCCAAGGAGCGGGCGGGCCGCGGCGGTGAGCCACCGCCGCTGTTCGGCAAGAAGGACCCCCGGGCCCGCGAGGAGGCAGCTGCGGTGGGGCCACGCAGCGTCGTGGACCTGACCCAAGAGGCCCGGGCGGACCGCGGCCCCGTTCACTCTTCAGGGCTCGGCTCAAACATCCCCTCC